GTATAATTTACGGTAATCATATGTTAACATTTTTATTTTATTATTCTTTCATTAGTTCGTCCAGTGCTTGGTAGGATAACTAAGGCGGAACCAGCTGTTAATGATAGTACTGACCTGGAGATGACTATTTCTATCAGTAAATGGTTGCAAACAGCAGCAGAACAGACCTCGAATGTGGAGTTGACTGTAAACGATGCATTAGTAGGAGACTGTTACTGTCCTTCAGGCTCACTAAACACTGAGTTGTTGATTTTCCTGCGCTATAAAGAAGGCTATTCGTTGCTTAAGAAATCTTACATTGGTGAACACACTACTACATTGCAAAATTGCCCATAAATAGCCTCATGATTTTTAGCTTTTAATGTTTAAAAATTACAACGAAAAAAAATCCTTGTCTCTTAATACAAATATAATTTTCTTTTATATTAGAACCTATTTACATAATCAAAATTTAATGGGAGATTGTTTAAAGACTTTAATAGTAATAACTCTTTAAATCTGCCAAAGGACACCATAACTGTTTCATTCTGTATCTCAATGAAAATATATATTTGATCAATTTGAAAAATAATAAAATATGTGTAGCAAAAGCTAATTAAATTACAAACTAGCTATAAAAAAACACAAAAATAGAATCTTTAATAACGAAATCATAAATCATAAATGTTAAGTGCCTATTTGTCTGTGGAGACCAAGTTGGACTCTCATTTTATTTATTTTTTATTAATAAATATCACAAACTAGTCTCAAAACTGCTACTTTTACTTTACAAAATTCCAGGGGTGGCGGAGCCCCCCCCCCCCCCCCCCCACAATCAGTGTGAGAGAAATAACATTTTATCTATTATATTTTCGATATATTAGTAGAGTATCTATAAAATCGATTAAATAATCCTTTGACACACCTAAATTGCCGTATTTTTCAGTAGCTTCGCCCCTGGACCACTTTAGAGACATTTTGAGTGGCGCCTGACCATGCCTACTTTGCTCTTGTCGGGGAACTTAAAAAAAAACCATTATTCAATATAGTAATTGAAAAATTTATATAAATCGTACTGGTTTATTTCTTCATAATTATTTCTTTGTTGGGATATTTTTGTATGTTATATTAAGTTATGAATTAATAAAATAATGAATTGAATTGCTTATTATAGAAAATGTAATTATTGGTGTAACTGAGTAATTATATTTAATGTTATAGTAAAGTTAACGTTTGCAAACATGAAAAAATAACAATAATTACGCAGCTAAGCGGTGATCACAACTAAAAAGAGAACAGAGATGTCATATACGTCATCAAAAAAATAGAGGGCAAAAAAAACATGAAATGGCTGAAACCAGAATTTGCTTATGGTTAATAGATTGGAGTGCATCCTCATTAGCCGTCGCTAAATTACTAGAATGATGTGCCGAATGATTATCGTGATGACAATGATGATGAACATGAGGATGATGATTAAGACTTTGAAGATGATGATGAGGATGATGACAATAACGATAATAATAACGATAACACAGGACAGAATCAGTTACACTTCGATGAGTGAGCTTTATTCAGCAAACACTGGTAGGCCTACAGCTGAACCGTTCAAACAACATTAGTAGTTTACTCCTGGGACTCATTGCACTTTCAAAATATTGTCTGCAAAAAAATGCTGACAGATGTAAACATCTCGAGTGGGTCGAGATATAAAAATAGTTTATTTGTTTATCAATAATTAATTATTCATCATATCATCAATTATCAATAATTAGTGAACAAACAAAATTAAGGTTTACAAGATAAATAATCAATGTAATAATATGTAATTATCTGAATAATCAATAAATTATTATATATCATATTTTGTATCAAAAATTTATAATTCATGATAATTTTGAAATCCAATATTCCTGATATATAATAAATATTATTCAATATTAATTATTCATGATATTTAACCAGATAATAAATAATTAATAAAACATTATTAATAATTCGTAAGTAGTCCATATCATAAAGCCAATAATTTCCATTGAATCTATACTATATCATCAATAATTATTGACATATTCAATACTTATGGGTATATCAATACTTCATGATTTATATAATTAATAATTCATGATATAATATATAATACATGAAGTTATTATTAATCATAAGTTGTCACTAATTAATAGAGTTTGTCATATTTAGTGCAACTGCATAGTATGATTACTGCACCACAAACTACGTCACTTTAACCTGTAAACATGAAGAATACCATATATGCAACTCCATGGGTACACCTCAACAGTGTAACCATGGAGTTGCATTCTTTACTTCATAACTCGATGGTATAACTCACAGTATAACACACTGTATTGATGGTCGTTGGATGACGCAAGTCCATGGGGAACGCAACACAACAAGCAACAAGTTTAAATGACCTTAAGTGGCAAACGTTGGATTTGTCAGCCATAGTGTGCACCTGGCTTCAAATGTCATTAACAGAAAAAGTCAATAAATTACAAAAAAATTACAGTACAATCATTTTCTTCTAATTCTAAAATTCAAAGAAACATATTGAATCTTAAGTACTTACATAGATATGGTTACATACTTAAAAAAAAAATATAAATAAATAAATGAAATATAAACACAGCCTTGTAACCTATAACTATAAAATATAATTTAAAATAACTACAAATAACATATCACATACACAAGAATACTGGTAAGAATTCAATAGAGTAATAGTAGTAGTATTGATAAAACAAGATATCAGAGATAAAACAATAACTAAAAAATAATTGTTAAGATAATTACAAAAATAAGAATTACAATATCATTATAATCAATAATAGACTTGGAATATAAAAAACATTACAGTAATAACAATAATAATAATTCATTTCCAACTATGGTGAACAATAATATATTTTTTAATCAATGTCAATAAATAAATCTATTTCTGTTTACAATAAAGTTTACAAAATGTACATTCTTGAATATCCAAATATGGACATGATTTCCAAATACGGATACAATTTCCAAATATGGATCAACTTTCTAAATATGGACAACCCCTCTCTCACTCCACAAAGTTTAAATCTTAATTAGAATATAGATAATACACGAATGTACATGACAACAATTCAAAATATAAAACAAAAACTCAAATAACAAGATATTAATTAACCATAAATATTCCCATTAAGCTAAAATATTAATTAACTTTCTAATTTCTGAGTTGTATATGCAGTTAGCCAAATTTGATTAAAAGAAATCATGTAATCATTATCAAATTGATTCTTAAATTAATCAACAATGATTGGTTATTCAATAACAACAATTTATTGCTCATTATTCAATGCTATGATTCTAAAATCATGTAAATAAAAAGTCTAACATTTATATTGTATATCAATAGAGAAAATACAAGCAAGTATGTACATTTACACATATTCATCCTATGTTTGTGTATTATATGATTAGCTTATGTCCACATCCTGAGGCCATTCATGGACCTTTTCATAGTATTAATCAAACAATGATGTGCACGCCACACAAACATTTCGCGCTGTCGTTTAGTGGGAACTTAGCAACAATATCCATGTTGACGATGAACAACTTTGCAGGATAGGCCTAGTCGGTTCGAGCTCCTGGATGAAGGACTAGCCTAGGCCTAGCATTACTTCTTGATGAAGCCGATAGCAGAAGCACCAAAGACAAATTAAGTATGTCTTGTCTACATTCGACAAATATTGCAAGACGACAGGTGCTGTTTAAATTGAGGAAATGAGCAAAGAAGAGCCAGACACTCTTTGATCACCAAGACATACTAGTGTGTAGGCCTCTAGGCTAGGCTAGGAAATAAGTACTTTTTTAGGCCTCAAAGAATCTATGTATGAGGTATATAAAACAAATATTGACTGTTCTAGATTCGGAGAATCTATGGCCCATCAGTATTACTGTAGCTGATCTTCTCTTGGCAAGGCGAGGGAAGATAGGCTACCGTCTCAACGTCACCGAGGGAAAATAGATTTCAATGTGTGTATAATTATGCTATAGTCATTTTTTATTTTGATTATACCCACTACATTATTAATTAAAGGTCCAAATTGTTAATAATATGATCCACTTGAATGCCTTTTTGGTAATAAATCTGCAATGAAGCTACTGAAATTAAAACCTATATTTTACAATAAAAAAATAATAAAATTAATAATATATTAAAATAATAATAATTTACATTTTGAACAACATTTTGAGATATATCACACTGCACATTTCCCAAAAATTGTACCTATAAATGTTTGATGTATATCCCCATCACACCTTGTTTTTTATCATCTTAAAGTGTCTCTCTCGGGCTGTCAAAGATGTTTCAAAATCTTGTTCTATTTTTGGATGGCTCACAATCAAATAATTCTTCCTAAATAAAGATAATCTCTTCATTCTACAGCTTGCTTTCATGAAGTGTGCAGCCTTATTTATTATATATTCATCAATTACACATTCATTTTATATTATACATTTATCATACACTCATTTTTTATACAACCATTCATTTAATTTATTAATTTTATGTATTTAGATCCTGATACAGACTCGCTGACATCACATGCAATGTGTCTTGGTAATTGCATGTGACGTGGCTCCCACCCACATCGAATCTGTAAGAGTCACTTGCAAATGCAATCGGTTCAAATTTCAAATAGCCTGATTCAACAGTTGCTGCTTTTCATGTTGCCGTTGACGGATATCTTGGGGGCATTTTTATTCGATTCTGCTGATACTTTACGACTATGATAACGATCTTTTAACTGATCCAAAGCGCTCATCAACCGATGGTTGGCTGCGTCCAATGACTCGATGCGTCGCTCCTGGGCATCTATGATCTTCTGTTTGGCATTTACTACAGCCTTCATCTCCTCTTGTTCACCCTTCAACTTCTCCTCGACGCAAACTAATCTGTAATTTAAATATAAATAATTATTACAAAATTGTATTGTAATCTATTTCACATACCTTATATATATAAATATTATAAACAATTAAGAAAATGTTTTGAAGTAGTAAGTACATTTAAAATATCCATAAAATGTATTTACATAAATAATAAAAAATATTACAAATTATATAATATATGGATTTGTATATTGCATGTATAAAATACCAACAATAAAAATTTGACATTAAAAAATAATAAATATGTATTTATATATCGCATCATTTATTCCCTAATATGACTAAAAATAAAAGGAATGGATTATATACATACAAATAAAACCTGCAAAATGCGATAAACGTACAAATTATCCAATGTTCAAAATACATAAGCTCCATTTTTTGCACACAACAAAAAGGTTTTGCCATAACATTTAAAAAAAAGTTTTTGTAATAAGATTATATAGACACCAATCTCCAACCGTGACAACGCATTTAACAAAAAACAAACTACTATATTCAAATGTAGCTAATGACCCGAGTTATCATATAATTACATGATAATCCAACTATGTGTTGCAATGGTAACTAATGAACTTGCCAAATATGTACACTAAATAAATTTCCACATTTCTGAATGGGAAGTTTTAGAACATACTCATAGGATGAAAAAAAAAGTTAAACAAAAGAGAAACACACAATCTATATACTATAGTTACTTTGTACGGTATAATTGGGTATTTAGTACTGCATTAGTCAGTTTTAAACATTACTGTATATGAACACTGCTTATGCATCTTTAAAAAAATCTCTAGCATAATTAATAAGGGTATAATAATTATAATATACCAAAGTCATAATTTTACCTATGTAAATTTACATCAAAACCTTAGTAAAGTCCCACTTTCTGCTACAAGTTTTTACTGTGTTTAAACATAAGTTATCAAAACATGGGCAAGAGCTGTTTCATATCCTTTTGAGACTGTTGTACTCTCATAAGTCATAATCGAGTGGAAAGACCATCATAATCAAACAACAGATTTGCTACAAAAAACCTGCACCCAACAAAAGAACAAGGAAGGAACAAATAAGTTCTTAAAATGCAGGCTTTTACATGCATTTTGAGAATTGTTTATTTCCAAGTGCAAAGTAATCATTTTGCAGAAGAAATTTGGTGATGTTCAGCAAATACAGGGCCTTTTTTAGCTTAACATTTTTAATTCTATTATATACCTGTGTATCTGCAATTGAATATCAATATATTAGCTACTTAAAGTGCATAAAGGTCTACTCCATTAAATAAACTTTGTAACCAACAAGCAACATAGCTCAGCATTTTAAAAACAGAAAACAAATATCTGTGTATAGAATATGTTTTAAAAAACTAAATTGATATATTGAATTAGGTATTTACACAAAAGTTATGCATATCTTCATACATTTTTTTAATCTTTTATTACCCAGTACATAAACTTGGTTAGTATGTTATATTGTATACAAATTAACTAATGTCTGTTACAGTAGCATTTTATCTAAGCAACTAACCTTCAAGTTTAATAACCGTAAATAAAACCAGTGTGATGCATGTATTACAATACTCAGTGTGAAGATCAATATGACTACTTATTTTATTTTTAAGTAATTTAAAAAAAAATTAATTTAATTTTGTTTTGTTTTATATTGCATTTAAAAAAGACAACTTCCAAATACAAAATGTGTCACAGGTGAAGCATAACAAACAGTAATTACAATAGAACAGCGTCCTCTTTGGGCATGGATGTTGTGACATGGACTATGACACGTCATCCACTCTCGTTTTGCGTTTTCCCTGTTACTTATATACTCTTTGGTGAAACCAGCGTTAGCGTAGAGCTACCAGGATAGGCATTGCGTTGCATTAAAGTTGTTGTTTTAAATACTTGTGTGCTGGTCTATATGTAAATGTATGTTTGCAAAAAAGCCATAAATATTAGTGAAATAAAAAAAAACTACTATTACTGAATATGTCCAAAATATATCAATTAACAACTGCAGTACTAAACTATATCTGGTTTTTAAAATATTTGAATAGTTTCGTCTGGTTTGCTTAATATTGTTGAAGAACTGTTTTGATCATTAATAATCCAAACACAACAGATGTTAACTTACTGCGAGCTTTCGTCGATGTTATCAACATGACTTCGTCAGGCTATGTGAGCTAACATCACTTGCTTTGACATTAGTAAGTTAACATCCATATTGTGTTGGGTTTATTAACGATCAAAACAGTTCTACAAATATATCTGGTTTTGTTATACTAAAAGCACTGGCCAAAATAACATGTCACTAAAAATTATTCAGTAGAAAAACAACATCTACGTACCAATAAGGTGCTGCTAAGAGAGAATTGAAAACAAACAAGAATGGAAATTAATATATAGCAACAGGAAGAGAAAAATAAAAACATATAGACTAAAGAATGACATATCAGTTTTACATCAGATCAGAAGGAATAGAATGATATAATTATAAATGAAACAAACATTAAAATTGATCTGCATCTGAATATTATATTCAATTGTATTTTAATTTATTATTAAACTAAACAAGTGCATGTATTATAAAGCTTACTGTATGAAACAGATGCATTAATTATCTTAATTGAGAGACAATAATTACATAATTGCTGCAGATTTTTTAAAAAAACAGAATGCTAACTTAATATACATTTGGGAAAAATATGGAAAAGCATTCTCAAGGTTTAAGGCAAGATAGAACTTTTTAAATCCCTATGGTTTTGTAATTGTAGAGATATAGCAGTTCAACCTATTATTAATATATGTTGCGATTATTATTATTAAAATTATTAAAAGTATAATTATAATTTCAACATACTATTTTAATAGTTATTCACTAATATTTTAAAATAATTTCTTATCATTTAAAAAAAAAATGTTATTGGTACTATCAGATGTGGTATGGGGAGGAGATAGCTATGAAGGGCTAAGTATATAGGTTAGCAGATCACTCTTAAAGTCAATTGTACACAACAAACAATAGAGGTGGTTTGGAGGGATAACAAAAAAAAGACGCTTTCATGTATGGTGTCTATAGATGATGTAGAAAATGAATGGCTCTAAAGCATACTAGCAAATGAAAAAAAAATTGGCTGCTTTCACCACAATGCAACACAGCACATCAATCCAAGAAGCATGATTTCCAACTCTCATAAGAAATGCCAGCATGTGGAAATGGAGTTGAGTGCATTTGATGTATCTAAACCAGTGATCTTAAATGCTTTAAAAGATATATTGTCTGTCACATATGGAGGAAACCTCTAAAAAAAATAAATTAAAATAAGTAGGTGCATAAATTATTAATTAAAGTAATCAAATTAAAAAAAATTTTAAAATAAAATCAGTTTTCCCAGCTATTTAACAATTACTTCAAAAAGCCTTCAATTAATTTTGAGCAATCTAGGGGGGTCCATGTAAAAAATACTGTAATGAAACAGTATACATCTGTTATATGCAAAATGTAACAGATGTAAATATATTCTGGTGCCAATTTTCACTTGAAAGATATTAAACTAATTAAATATGCAGGGTAATTAATTCAATATTGAATGTTATCAAGTTAGCTCCAAACAGACAGTATATCTTTAAACTCAATAAGCACCTTTCAATATATAGCACTTTGCCAAAACATATGGCACTCTCAGCATATGCTGAACAAAACTCCGCCAAAACAAATATCTTTACCTGCATTAGTTATCAATTATAAGAACCAAAAAAAGTAATTAAGCTGATCTACCAGTTAGAACACAGGAATTGTGATTAAGCCCATATGAACTATAGTATAATATGAACATAATTATAATATGTATTTTGGCAAAAAATATGGTAAGATTTTTTTGTGCTTTCTTTTATATACCATTTTTACTTCATCTGGATCGGAACACTCTCTCTCACTGTTTAATAAAATGGAAAGAAACAGGTATTATCTGACTGGTCATTAACAAGAATCTATCTATATCTATATATATATATATATATATAAATCAGTAGGTAGACGCAGACAAAATAAACTGCTACGATATTTTGACTTGTAAGAGACATAGAAATATTTTATTTGCGAAATTTTCGGCAACTCCTGTTACCTTAGTCAGCGCATGAGTATCAATCATTCGTCAGCGCATTGATACTCATGTGCTGACGAAGGTAACAGGAGTTGCCGAAAATTTCGCAAATAAAATATTTCTAACACCATATCAAAAACAATATTTCATCACCAACGAAATGCATGATGAATTTCAACATAATTATTCAATTGCAAAAACAACTACATTACATAGCATTATTTTTGTACATAAACATAGTCAACCGAACATTACAAATGCCAGTTAACATGGCAATAAACATATCTGACAACTCCAAATGGCTCATGGTAATGCCGAAAGCAGACTAAGAAACATATTACAGCAAAAAATCTAGGACGGATGTTAAGATGTTCTAGGACTCCCTTTAAGCCTGAAAACAATGCTTGGCATTAAACTCTTATAACTGCTCACTAAGGACAATGTTACATTTTAATTAATAATAATTAATATAAATATCAATATGGAAGTAACATTTTCTATATACATACAACAATTTACCTTGATATGATGTTTTTGATTTGTTGTTCCTTCTCAGTCTGCTGTTTATGTATCTGAATTTGACTTTCTCTTGCTTTTCCCTCCATTTCTGCAATAGCAGCATTTGCCCTCTGCTCCTCCTCTTCTAACTTCCTCTGTGTTTCATGGAGTTCCAGCGTTACCTCGTCAAGCTTTTCTTTGAGAACTTTAATTTCATTTTCATACTGATGAAAGAGAATCAAATTTATTTCAACTTATGAAAAACTAAGATCATCACCTGTTACCACCACTATCACTGCCACCACCACTACTACTAACACCATCATCATCAATGCCACTAATACAACCATCATTATCGCCATTTCTATCAGAGGCAATAACTATCTGTATACTGTACTCTATGGATATTAAGCAACTTACCTCCAAAGGTGACTTGCCATCTGTCTGTACTCTCTTCTCAGTTGTTGGAGAGGTTGGAGAATTTACTTCACCATCAACCCTTGACAGATGGGTAAGCGGCAGAAGACTTACTGGCAGAACCTTTCCACTCTCATTGGAAGAGGAGTTTATGGAAGAAATACTTGATGAAGGTGTGACAGAACGATTCTTAGCATCTTGAAGAATAAAAGCATTACTCCTGATTGAGCTAGTAGGACTGACGATTGGCGTGTTATTATGAGATGAGTCAGGTACAGGAGTGGTCGTTCGTGAGGATGATGCAGAGGAGTTTGCTTTTACAGGCTTTTTAGCATATTGCGTAAGAATGTGCTTTCTGAATGGATGAGCAACCGATGTAGGACTAGCAAGCGGCTGAATATGTGAGATCCTAGGCAACGATGAAGTACTGCTTGAGGGTTGGATGGTTGGATTAATGATATCCCCTGATGGAAGTGATGTGGAGCGTTCTAGAGACAGCGTTCCCATGAAAAGCTTTGGTTGAACAGGACTAAGTGGAGCACCTCCTTGCTTAGCCTGGCAATTGGAACTGCTTTTTGGGAGTGGAAGTGTATGGGATTCCCAGATGGGTGATAATGGAGATTCAGCAGAAGAGCCTGACCTAGAATGAGGATGGACTGCAATGGGAGATGATGGACCAATGGATGAAGCTGATTTACTCTTACCAAGAACTCGTTGGAAATGATCAGAGGGGGTTTCATCAGAATCTACTTGCAAGCCACTCTGAGCCTCGGATGATGTAGCACCAGAAGAACTAAAGTACAGATTATCGTACAATGGTTCTGAATTACCGCAACTGCTTAAATCAGTACTAACTGAAGATGTGGAATGTGAAATGACCTTTGAACTGGAACCTGACACAGAGCTGCTACCAAACTTACTTTGAACATTTGTAACTTTTGAAAGGCCTGTACTACTCTGGCTCTCAGTCCATAATTTATTCATATGTGTAAAAGTATGTGACAATCGGGAAGCTGCTTTAGGTAACGTGTGACATAGTACACCTCCTTGGTTATGATTGTCCGTTGCTGATATAGACCCGCTGCTCGAATTAATTCCTTCATCTATTGTCGATGACAAACTTCCATTTTGTTCATTTCTACTACTGTTTGATGAACTTGTGCTGGTTGTCACATGTCGTGCATGCGATTTCGGTGAAGTGTACTGATAAGCTGGGTTGAAAAATGATAAAGCGACAGGTTTTGATTCATTGTTATCATCCAAGCTTACATGACTCGCATTTTCATTCATATTTGATTCAGAGATTGTTCTAGAGGGTGCAGCCCTCTTTTGGATACACTGATTGTTTGTATTGTTCTCAATAACAACGTCCGAATCATTGGAGTGTCTTGGAGACCCTTGCTGTATGGCATCTACCAACCGATTGACTTCGGATGGCATGCTTGTCTTCTTATCACAAGCTATGTTATATGGTGGGAGTGGCTCGATCGCATGCTGGCTTAGATCAGCATCGCGGAAAATGTCCTCGAAGCCTTGGGTATTATGGTTGCTATGGGGACTGCCATCAAGTGCACTGCTTGAGGTACTTGAATGTTGATGGGTTAATTGATTCTTGTTTACTTCGATTTCCTGGTTTGGATTGTCACGCATTGCTGAAATTCTCCTTAAAATCTCAAACAGCACTTTGCAGTCGTTATCTTGTTCATATTCTTCAATCTATGAGAAAATAAGGTACATAACTGACCAATGAACATAATAAACTCACATAAATAGATACACACCTACCAATGGAATAAGGCACACAAACACCATGAAAAGATAATTGCAGTACTCAGCATTAGTTTCAATGGCTTATACATAAGCAAATATTTACATAACACAAATGCATACAATTTTCATGCAATACCAAATGTCTTACAGTAACTAAATATAGACAAATCCAATTAGATAAGTGCATTTTCGGGGGTGCGAAGTTTTTAGAGCAGATTACGATGAAAACTGTACGCATCATAATTCCACTATATCAGTAGCACACGCGAGAATCCCAAGCTATGGGTCTACAGAAGGGAGAATATTCACTGTAAATGGATCGCTCTATACTTACTTGGTGGGACTCCAACAGTGTGTCTTCCAACAGTTTATGAAGGATGGCAAGCTCACGACCACTGTCCACATACCCATCAAATTTGACAACATTCCCATTTTTATTGTCATTCTAAAGTAAAATATAACAGAAGAAAACAGTTGTTTAATGCAACATACAGATAACTATAAAACGGTATAATAAATCAGCAGTTTTTTACATATAAATGTTGACATTATATAGGATGCTCAATGACCGGATATTCTGAAATGGCGGAATTGTCTGCTGCCCTCTTTTGTGTATTGTACAGCAATGATCTTATAACGCCAAGATAGCATTCTCCACGATTTATGCTTGCAAAATCTGTTATAATGCAGTTTAAGCCCTCTCACAAAAGCAATTACTTTTCAACTTTGACATTAAATATTGTTAACTAAAGAGTGCATCTCACGATTTCTGTGTGCAAATTCAGAACAACCATGGTAACAACTAGGATGCCCTCTCTAAAAAATTATTACTTTTTATGCTTCTTTTTACTGATCATCGACGTTTCTATTTGTTATGCAGAGAGCGCTATCTTGTTATTATAAGATCTTTGTACAACAGTGTATCAATATATATTGACTAATTATTGTTTCGTAGCAAATTTAGAAAATAGTGTAAAAATCAAAAAAGAAAATAAGATCTATTTAGATTTAGTGTTTTGTTTCAATGAATTATTGTTGATCAGGATATGTATTGTGCTAGAAAACACTGTCTCATTGACAACTTACTGAAATTTCTGACAGAAAACATCTCATGTTGCTCCATTCCCTCTCCAGGAATTGATTCATGAAATCCATATATTGTTCTTTAGCACCAAACCTTTGAGAAAGAACAACAAAATGTTTAGTTATTATATTTACATTCAACCATCAATGTTTCAGGTGATACACTGACAGAATAAATAGCCAAGGAAGACCCAAAACAAGTACATGAAATATATTTAAGCATGGACACCACAAATTCAAAATAGAAAAGAATCTAATGAGGCATTAACTACCATGTATGACTACCAGCTGGGTAAAGGGTTAAATGGACAGACCAACACAGAGAATAGATATCAAAGAACCTATAGACAGCAAATTTCTGTATACCTATCTAGCCTGAATAATTTTCTATCTCTTTGTACAGTATCCCTCTGTATTTTGCATACATTCTTACCTTGTGAAATTCGCTAAGGCCTGAATTGTTTTTGTGATGAGGGTTAGCATTCTGGCTTTCTTGACATTAGGATATTCCTGGACAAGGTCAAATAGACTAGGAGACATGATTGCTGGTGTCAAGAACCGAAGAAATATACAAGCACTGCAACACAAGAGTGGAAAGATACTAGTTTTGGTAAGCAATAATATTTGATTGAACAATATAACAAGAAAAATTACAGGTATTTAAAATATTAATTTGTAACTAATGTAGAGACATAAAAGTGAGTGGTGGTTAGAGTGGTTAAGGTGACTTGCTTGTCTCACTATCATTAGTTCAACCAATACCAAATTCCTCCAGTAATCAGGAGCATTAGGATTTGCGTATGACAATTTATATAGTTGAACAATATTTTATCAAGGTACAATAACCTTTTCAGCTTCCATTATGAAATCATTAATAATTAATTATTTATCAAAAGCAAACAATTCAGATTAATCTGATAAATTAGAAAATCCAAGAAGCTTAAAAATATGGTTAATATAATTATGAAAAAATGTATGTAACTCCGTACCTTATTAAGCGGTCACTCAGATCAGACTTGTTTTTTACTTCAGTGAAGTGGGTTCGAATCCTGTGAAACACTTCCTTTAGATCGCTTGGGAAAATATTGGTAGAATTGATAATTTTCCCATAAATCATCTCGCAGAGCATCTTTAGTGTTTCCTGGTTTTCATTGATTTGCTGTGGTCCTTGTGAAAGCTTAGAGGGATCCACCTAATGGGAAGAGAAGATAAAAACACAACTGTAATAAATGTAATGAAAATACCAATAAATATAACAAAATATGCAAACAAAAATGATATAAATATATAAATATTAATGAATATCTGAAAATTTTACCTCACAGGATTCTTCAGACTCATAAATACTCAATATAAAATCCCCTAATGTGTCTTGTAAGTACTTTCCACCAATCAGCTTCATGTATGCTTCAATGGATTTAGTTGCCATGGAGTTTGCTCGTAAAACATTATTTTCATCTTCTGTAATTTTGATAAGAACAATTATTAGATAATATCTTTATAGAATAATAGTAAGAATAAAGTAACTGTATATTACGTTTCTATACCACATTATAATTGGTCTCTCCATGTGCGTTACCAAGTGTCCACGTAAACAGATATATTAAAAATAAATGACAAAGAACATTTTGTAACATTTTTTTCCTAAATTTTAATGTAATGTAATTAAATTAGGTTAAACTCATAAATTACTAACCAATATTATATACTTATATTAGAGAAAAACAAAACAAATTTTTCCTTACTTTCCTGTTCTGACTCCTGGATGACCATCTCAGTTAGGAAGTCTTTGACAGTACCAAGGCTGTGTAATACCGCCACCAACGATGTTGCAATCTCTTCCTTCGCCTTTGCTTGTATAGTCCGTAAAATACCACACAGGCCAACAGCATTTGTTCTCAAAAACTGTAAATAAAAATACCACATCGAAATAAGTTATATTTTGTTTTATTTTGGGTTTGTTACTTTCATTATTAGCTTCATATATCATTATCTTTTTATTTTCAAACGTTGTTTATTTTCATTTGAAGGCCCATCACAAATAATTTCAATTCCGTGACTTTCATAGGCTACCCTTGCATATCAATTTGTGTTGCACTGCCTTCCCCTACATATTCACTTTTTTCTTGTCGTATATTTACAACTTCATTTTGTATTCAAATAAGTATTAGAGATCAGGATATTTCCTTAGAAATAATGTTGGTAGAATTAGAATAGGCTTGATTACTATTACTTTTTTTATTCATACCTATTTTACTTTAAGGTTCTACATTTTATTTTAAAAATAAAATTGCTAAAAAATTAGATTTAGAAGAAGTTAAGCAATGATACCTCTGAAAACTCGGCATACTGTTGCAAAGGAAGTATATCAATGCATTGGTAGGAAGCTTTAATGCGTATTGACGGGGTTTCGCTGCTCTTGGGCGTGGTCACATCAAACCTGTGAAAAACAAAGATAGTAGAGCTCTTATTATTGTGGAAATCTTACACAGGATATTACAAATAAAAAATGTAATGAATTAATTAATGTAATAATAGAGGAATTACATCTACCACTCACCAGCTATCAATCGTAGATTTGAGATCATTCATTGGGATGTGCACATTGCCTGTTGGGAAAAAAGATATACACCATTTTCGAGAAATTTGAACTAAAATTCACGATAACCTGGCAACTACCAATGGGGGACTTTCAGAGGCCTAGCATTTCGCTCTATGTAGTTACCATCATGGATTAAAAATGAGCACAAATATTTTAAAATGAAAAAATACGAAATGTTTATATTAAAAACAAGTCTAAGTCTTAAAAAGCTATTTCAATGTTTACATATACAGCAATTACAGTAATTAGCATCATCGTATCTGTTGTCTACTGCTGCTATAGCAAAGGTCTAGCCGCGCTAGCCACTCAGCGGTGATGTATTAGTAACTAGCTAGCTGCTCAGGCTAGGCCGCTGGAAGCCCCCCAGTGAGTTTAGAGACGTTGGTGGGGCTGTTTCAAAATAAATCCGACAAAATGGTCTATAATCAGAAATCAGCTTCATCCTCATTATATATTTCTTAGTATTTTAAGATGTAAATTATTTGTCATTTAAGAAAAACACTCAAAATTTCAATTAACGCATTAAATTGCTCATTAACCTATTATAGGTATCACAACATCTTTTATCCAGCAGATTGTACAAGAGTAATGTGACATGGTAACATTTGAACTTATTGTTTTTTTTTGTTTAATTATTATTATATAATTGTCTGAATTTTTTTTTTATAATGACAATGGAAATGAATAAATGAATAAATATTTTTACTTTAACTTTACTTTTAACAATGGTTAAATTGAATACAGACCATTGAAGGCCTGTAAAAAGTGTATTGAAAAGGTATTATTTTTGCATATATACTGGCAAGGAAAACTTTTTAATCATTCTAATGGGGTTTTTTTTTTCAAATGGATCTATAACATTACCAAAAAAACCCTCCCAAAGTAACCAATGACAAGACTTTTTAAAGCATATTAAATATAAATATCTTGTAAGATAGGATAGTTAGTAATTAATAGATGGTGATACTGACAGTATCCTTTAGAGGTTTAGCCAAAATATATCCATAGTAGCTTGAGAAACTCAAGTTACAGAATATGAGTCAATGTTTGATGTTTATCTGTATAAGAAAGATTTTCCTAAGATAAGGTGCAAGTGTTGTGACAAAAACTGGAGCAGTTCAAATTTGAACTAACACAAAATTAGGTCACTATCACTAAATCCCCCCAAAAATAGTCCAATAAAAATAAAACTGAATACAATTGAAGACCATTTTTAGGGACTCAGATTACAAATTGGAAGGTGGTCTTTAACTAAAGGGGTCTTTAAATTGGAGAGAAAACTGTATTTAAATGTACAGGCCCGTAGCCTGGTTCTTCCAAGGGGTGGGGGGGGGTTTCTGGGCGTGAAGTCCATAGTCAATGCCCCGGTGTGGTCAGCGAAACCCCCAAAGCTAGAGGATTCTTGTAGGGTCTAAATAATGCTATAAAAGCAGATATGTTTGAAAATATCTGTGTCTGGGCGGGTCTGCAGTGCATTGGTTGGGTTGGATGACTTATTTGGGAAATTTAGAGGGGGTTTCGCCAGAAAAGAGGGGGGTTTACTAAAAGGGGGTTCTCCAGAACCATAAAACCCCCCTGGATACGGGCCTGCTGTACCAATCAGTATAGCTCTTTGTTATTTCTTTTATTATTATTACTATAGAATTTATTAAACAATTACCTCAATACTAATGGTATACATTGATTAGCAATTATAATAATTCAATAATGTAAAAACAAGAAAAAAATAACATTACTGCACACAACCAAGGCCAATATGCAAATTATAACTAATGATTATTTTTTGTTCTGCAGTTTAAAAATTCACCAATTTATCTCACTTCTTTGTAGTAATGATTTTAAAAATCAGAAAAAAATGAAAAGATTGGTTGATTTTACTTAAGACCTAATTTTTAATACAAATTTATTTTTTACTACAATTGTTTAATACGAATCTACAAATTCAGTCCATTTCAGTCATTTTGTAATTTGAGTAATGCCACCAATCTTCCATATTTGGAGAATTTGTAAAAATCTTACCGTCAAGATTGCTATAAATTGTACTACATATTTTCAAATAAAAACTCTAAAATCCCCTTTTTAAATGTAGCACCTACAATTTGAACAGGCTAACAAATTAAATGTAAGCACCTAAAATATGAGCAGTTTAAAGGCTACCACCTTAATATCTAGACTTTTTTGACAGTATTTGAACTTATAAATCTGGATGGATGGTAAACAAAAAAAAATTTAAAAATTAAGCACATTAAATGTAAGCACCTAAAGTATGAGCACCTTAAAGGCTACCACCTTAATACCAAGACTTTTTTGACCGTATTTGACAGTATATAACTTACAAATCTATATGGTTGGTAAACAAAATTAAAAATAAAAAAAATAAAACCTTGCTTCTAATTTTTATCAAGTTTAAGTAAATCTGTCAGTTAAGGATATTGATATTTAATGGATTAGTTTTTAAGGTTCATAAATGATTCCAGTCTGCTGTAACTAACTTAAGCATCACCCCTTCCTTTTAACTTGATTAACTAAAGCTGAGTTGACTCAGCCCTGAAGTTCAAATCTAAACTTATAATTCACTGTGTATGATTGGCGTCCATTATTACCCATCGTTAAACATTCTACTATCACTAGACCATGATCCTAGTACACGCTTACGATTAATAAGGTGACAGTAAAAGGGAAAGTGCCCAGTCAGTCGTCTGTAGTTTGCTTCGATTGTTAATTCTGTTGAAAGACAGGGTCAAGCAGAGTGTCATGGTTAAGGTCGAAAATAAACACCCCTTGAAATGAATTGGCCTTATTAATTTCAGAATGTTAAAGGATAATCAAATTTTAACAGCTTCTATATGGTTGATAAAATATATAGGCAAACAGGTGTTCCAGGTAATGATCACAAATTAATTTCCTATTCAAAATTATAGAAAATGAATTTACTTAAATATGCACTTCATTCTGTCTATTACAGATAAGAGACAATACATAAGTAATTACGGTATCTTCAAATTGTTCATATATTTTCTTTCCCAAATGATAGGTTATTTTTGAAATTGAATTAATTATTTAATATTTTAGTTCATAGAAATTTGGGAGGTAATGCTCAGTACAGCTGACACTGTTTTCATGACTAATTAATTATATTGTATTGTAGAGTACTAATTAGGTTATATACAGTAACTAGTTTTAGTTTATATATTGAAAGCCTACTATGAGCAGCTTAGTATATCTGTGAAAAATATTGTCTTTCACAGAATTGATGAAAATATGCAAAAAATGGCCAGAATTAAAAGTAAATTCTTGATACAAATTACCATAAAAATTAATTAAATCACTGTACACCGATATATATGGTTAAAATAAACAAAAAATATTTTTAGTATAATAATTATTATTTATTATTATTTCTTCAGATGAAGCCTTCATAAAATAATATAAAAATTCAACTTTCAGTTTTGAATAGTCTGGGCCTGATTCATAACTTATTGTAGCATTAAAATTGAATACCAAACACTAGGGACGCAGACAGGATATAAACAGGTAACAGCGTTACCTAAGATATAGACAGAATACCTACCTAGAAGTCCCAACTGATCCCCCAAAACTGATATCTATATGTAAGAGGTATGTCTTGTATACCTCTATGACTCCTATTTTACAATGATGGGACTGTTTCTTTTTATTAGAGGAACAAATAAAGTACAGCACCTGGGAACTAATTGCTTTTTTTGTACCAAGACTAGAAGTTGCTTTTGTGGATATATATTAAGGAAATATGTGCATCTTCTTGAATGGATACAGGTAAAGTCATGGTTAAATAACACCTGTAATGTATAATAATGAAAGTAGTGAAACTAGTAATATTGTATTAAGTTGCATGCTTTAAAAAGATTTTCCAATGTACAATAAATGTTGAAATACCATACTAAAATAAAAAAAAATTTCTAAAAAAAAGTTATATATAGCAACAAGAATAAGGGATTATAAGACCATGTACATTCCTGTACTTACAATAGCCTTCTCTGTTTGCCTAAAATTATGTCCCAAATATAGGTCTCATGACTAAGGTCGCAACAGATTGTCTATTGAAAAATCAGGATAACCAACAAAACCCAAAATGATGGCTCAAAGCACTAGGAATCCAACATCTTTCAATACATCCAACTTTTGCTATAGGTTTCTATAAGATGACTCACTTTATTACAAATAAAAGAGGATGCATGTTGAAACCAGAGCCTGAGGATTCATAAATTTTTTTAATTATATTTGTATTGTTGCAAATTTAATACTAAATTCATTCCTTACCAACATCTTTGTTCTTCTTTTTGCCGTCCTGCTCACGAAATAAATGAATTGTCAATGAATTCATATCAGGAAACGAGCTATGAAAATTTGAAATTTGTTAATAATGATAAGGTCATATAATAAAGTCATTTAATATGAATGGCATCTTAATAAATAACAATACCATTCTATAAATTATTTGTGTGGTGTGTTATTCTGATTGGATTCCGACATATGAAATGTAATCTAGTGTACAGAATAAGCACACAAATGATATATAATATTGTTATGAGAAAAATTTAAGACATTACATAAGAAACACTGTGGCTGATATTTCTCATCAACATTAAAACAGCTTGTGCCTCCTAAACATCTGGTAAGCTTTGAGAGGAGGAACATGAACTAGAATAACAAAAACCCAGTCCTACTGAGATTATAATGCCTATTAAAAAATCTTATCTTGAGGTTTAATACAGAAACATAAATGGTATTATGTGTCCTATTGCAATTAAAAGGATAGGGCATTTCATTGAAAAATCAAAATGTATACTGTATTCATTGCCAAAAAAAAAAAATATTTGACAAAACTTGCGCTCAATACATTGCCACTGGCATTAATTAAAAAAGTATTACAATGTACTTACTACAATTTGAACTGCTCACTCCAAAATACTTCTTCGTAGCATTTGTCACTTCCAATTAACTGTTTTGATGTCGTCTTAGCATAAATGTCATCATCAAGGAATATTTCACAAAAGTACCTACTGAAGAAAATCAATCATATTTAATTAATCAATTGTTCAGTTCATAAAGTTACTGCATTGTTCCGCAGCCTTAGGTGACATCACAGTTTAATGAACCACTATTCCCCCTTGGGGACAAAGTGACAAAAGGTAAAGTAAAAAAGAGACAAGAAGGGACACAAGGTAATATGAACAGGACATAAGGGTATATGAACAGGGCACAAGGTGATAAGAACAGGTATTGTAAAAAATAAGAATGGGGAAAGAGTGATAAGATTGGAGAAAATATGATAAAAGTGAACGTAGTGAGTGACGGTTTATTTTTCAATACAGACCTATCATAAAATATGGAAAGGCATTGCATGAACAAGGCAGCAGATGAATATATACACTACGGTACGCAACACGATTACATGTACTAAATGTAAATTGTATCTAACTTTCATAAATACAGGACAAATCTATATAAAAATACATTCCATACCATAAATAGAAATATTACATTTTTATAGACATTTATGTACACATAATGTACACATTTATACATCTCTTTATAACCTTTATATATTGTATGCACATATGTACATCTATATACTTATCATCATACCTTTTCTTGGAATTTGCTGACAGTTTCTTAGCTTCCATAATCCATAAGCGTAAGCTACGAAATTGCCTTCGCTTATCATCTTTATCGGGATCCACCGTGCTTAGTATGCTAAAGTTAAAGAGACAAATATTGTGTCATAAATCTACCATTCATATACCTTTTTTTCACAAGAATAATCATAAGCAAATAAAGTAACACTAAAAATAGATAAGAAAGTAAAACATAGGCAAACTTATGCAATTGATGAAAAGAACTTCTTAAGCAAGTTAAGCAAATTTTATTATTAAATAATTGGGCAACATACAACATTTAAGAAATTATACTATATTATTACAGTATCTCACAATAATTTCTTCATTTTTTTCCTTACAAACTTAGTATTTTATAAAATTCAAAATATGGAACTTTATATGCTCCATAAACACAAAATTAAAGCATAAATTAAATGATATTGTGCATAATTAAATGATATTGTGCATTAAACACAACAAAAACAAGATGGCAGTCACTACATGTAACATCATGTGACCCATGTACAAATTTGTGACACAAGAACTAATATGAAATGACAAGTCTGGATGAAAAGTAATAACTAATATTGAAACAATGTTGTCAATACACAAAACACTTGTAAATCTTAATTGTGTTTAAGTTTCTTGGTGTTGAAAGATCTTATTCAGTGAAATGCAATGTTTTGTATCAAATTCTAATTTCACTTGGAAACAAAATGAGTTGGGAATACAGGACATAGGTCAAGGTTTCTTAGCCTGTTAGTAAGAAAAATCCAACCATGATTACTATTATTTTTTAATGTTAAGTTATTTATGGAGTGGAGCTAATGAAATGTACATTATCAAAATACAGGCAAAGCTTCCTTTTTATCATCATGTATGATTTGGTTTTTACCAGCATAAACTATTACAAAAAGCTGAAAAAAAAACAACTTTCCCCTTAATTTTTTTTAAAACTTGGAATGAGAATGTACATACATTTTCTAGTTGACCTAAATTCTTGTAAGGTGTTAGCAGATTTGTACCCAATATTAAACAGAACATTTATGAAGCTATGAAAGCAAGCAAATAGCATATTCCGTACCTTTCTATCCATTTCTCCCGTTCACTTGACGATCGACATGAATAGAATTTTGAACCTAGACTGGAAGTGATCTGAAAGCAGTGATCTTGTGCCAGAATGCTGCTATGTAGAGGGCGTATCTGCATATCGTTCGACATGAGATCAACGCCGAGTGATGTTTCAGGATTTAACAAAGAGTCTTGACTGCGAGATGCCTTAAGGTGTGGCATCATGCTAGCTGATCTGTTCCATGGAAGCATGGTAATGAAGAATGGAAAACAAGCTGAATGACCCACATAGTAAATGAATGAATGAATGAATAAATGAAAGGGAAAAAAAGATTTACTTCATCATAAGTGAAATATTGTTTAGTTTTGAACCAATCAGCAGCAAGTTTCACTACCCAAAACATAAAGTATATCATTGTTTTGGTATTTCTGCAGATATTATTCTCCTGAAGACGATTGAAGCAACGCAATCAAAACGTCAAGACAACAGTTCTTTTCAGAACTATCTACGTGGTGTACCGCAAGTATTAATATATATTATTACTTTGCCATGCAAACCTTCAAACAATATTTTGAAATATTAACATTTAGTGCATGATCTCCATTGATAATGAAATACCAACCATATTTATTATTCTTATACTAATAATTATTGTCCGTGATAATGAAATATCAGTAAGGAAGAACATTTATAGTTTGGTCTAGAAGCATGTCATCCCATCATGCTATCAACAATTAATGAAATAATCTACAATAAAGAATAGAAATTACTTTTTGAATAACATGATAAAATAAAGAAAATAATAAATTAGGATTATCAATTGACCACAGCATTCGGATGAAGAAGGTATTATTAGTATTTTTGGAGTTTGTATTGTGAGTATTAGATTATTTTTATTCCATAATTACCGTTTCAGTTTCTCTCTAGATGATGTAGGCTTATTTGAAGGCCGTCGTTTGACTTTTCTGGATATATTCTTGAATGTATTCTGTTGATGAAAAAACTTACATATTACTATTTAAAACAACAACAATAGTATTATTATTATTATTGTTTCCTAGATTTAATGAGAAAACTATAAAATAAAATTTTAATTAAGTATAACTTTCATTCATGTTAAGAAAATTAAGAGTTTTCTTAACATGAATGAAGTCGATACAATACTAAAATTGAAGCTAAACGAAGCAATTTAACATATCTATAAATTATAATAATTATGCATTGAGGTATTATACAAATATTGGATGTTTTATTTTCAACAGTTTTTTCTCAAAATATTTTCAAATGATTCAGTCCAAAAAATATTCTTCATATAACATAAAATTCAAGATCAAAATTCATTCTGTAAAAATGAACAAAACAAGGGTTACTAGGCCGGCTCCCAGGGGCTTATAATTTTATTAAAATCAGGGCTACACATGAGATTTTAGTCAGGCCTGGCTGTCTAGGTCAGCTATGGACAATATTAAAGCACTGTTTGACATAATCAACTAAAGGTCATATGAGTGTTTATGATTGTATATTTTATTAACACCTGCTACTCACATCAAGGTATTCCCCATCTTGTAGATAAACAGTGCATAGTACAATGGTAAAGCATGTTTCTATTATATTGATTGATACAGACATGGTAAATCAACTTTATTATATTCTCAGTAATAATAATCTTTTTAAATATTATAATATTATGTAAATTTAATGTCCATAAGGCTAATTTATTATTTGCAAATATTTTGTAGCTGGTATTTCAGATAATTCTACATGATTCTTCAACTCTAATTCATTTACTGTAATATTGTTTGTATATCATATTAGTTTATAATTAATATATTTCATGAGAATATATAAATTTAATAAAATGGTTGCCATCCACTATAAATGTATAAAATATTTTTAAATAAATGAAGAAAATAAATTATGAACAATAAATAATTTCTACAGGAAGAAGCCCTCACACATATGCAGGTATTACAGAATTGAATTATTATTATACCAGAATTAAAGGAATTTAAATTGAAGCAAGTTCCATTTTGTTATCAAATACTTTCCCAGGTAATACAACAAAATCAGCAAATTGTTTCAATGTCATAATAGTATTCAGAATGGTCTAATAAGCATGGTTCTTAAAATAAACTGAGGTACCAACCAAGGGTATACTGTAACACAGCACGTTTTATGAACATAAGAAGGTACCTATCTAGGGAATGGTGTCACCACTTGCTGAATTTTATTAGAAGTGACAACAACAGGGCGAGAAGTTCTCAACATGATGTCCAGTGTTATCATATTTTATGGGAAGTATTTTGCGTGTGGTACTGATGAAAATATAAAACTTTTTGAAGCCACTTTGTATTTTTAAGATCTGACACGCAGCTACAGTATGAGAGTTCATATTTAAGCTACATTGCAAATTAAATAAAGACTAATGATTTCTGTTGGCAGCCATGAATATGGTCAACAAAATAATAATCAAAATCCTCAGATCTAAATGTGGCAAAGACAAGCCAAACCAGTCACTCGTCGCAAAAATCAATTTTGAGTTATTAATGTTAGAGAGTAAAATAATAGCTATAAAATGGTAAAAAAATCATTCAAATCGGACATTTCCTTATGAAGTTACAAGCGTTTAAACATACAGCTGTTTAAAGAACAATATGAGAAATCAGCCTTCAAAGTTTATGATTTCAGGCATTTCTCATGCAGAAACTATCTTCAAATCCTTAAAAAGTGTTGTTTTAACATTGAAAATGGGGGAAAAAACAGCATACAATGATGTATAGATATGCAAAGATTAGTTTAGTGCAATAAAATAGATTTTAAAAAATTTGACATTCCAGCATGTTTTGGCCATTTTCTCTGAAACACGATTTGCGACGAGTGACTGGTTTGGCTTGTCTTTGCCACAAATCTGATTCGTAAAAATAATGATGTCCCCTTCCAACTCCAATGCAGTTACATTTATTTCTGTTGTGATTAAAAATTCCAGATATGACAAGACCACATTTTAGAACAACCATACACATGGTAATGTTGTTTAAGTAGGGTCTGCGACCTGGTTGCTTTCATATGTGGTTAAATTTCTAGCAGTTTCCTGTAGAACTAGTACTTCCTGTGATGTGGCATTTATCCATAGAATACGCATATATCGATGTTATAGAACAAAGATCAAGAAGAAAGAAATGTAATGAAAAAGAGGCCATGGTTCATGGACTGCTCATTATTCAGAGTAACATTCATTCTATGTTATTTAAGCTATGGATTAATAGGTCCATGTTTAAAGATAATCATTGCATCTGTTGGTTTTTATATAGGTACTGTCATGATGATCACAATCCAAGGTGCTGATTAACATTGTGGGTGGTAACAAAAATCGCTGAAGTATGGCGAAATGAATTTAGTGCAGTGTAATTGGAGAAAAGGTAATGCGATGTGTTTTTGGAGGGTTTGCAGAGTTTAGCAATTTTTAAAACAAAAATTGGCATTTTTTACCCCACAAATAGGTGGTTTGGTTGGGCAGTACAGCATGATTTCGGAGGTTTGCGGGATTTAGCAATACCCCTTATCACCCTGTTCTTCCTGTCTATCAAAATCTTCCCAAAGCATCAACTAAGGCCCTATAAAAAACATGATTAGTTTATCACCTTATCTAGGCTGGAAAAGCGATGAAGGAGGGAGGTTTTTTTTTTTTTGTTTTTTTTTTAAATTTTGCTTAACCAAATATTACTCTTGGGTTGTTTGCTGGTACATTGATTTTTAAAGTAAAACATGATTCATATATAAATACAAACAATATCTACTATTTAATTTAAAAAAAAAAAAAAAAAATGAAAAAAAAAAAAAAAATGAAAAAAATTTAAAAAAAAAAAAAATGAAAAAACATTTTTTTTTTCCAGTACCATAGAAACATGCCTGAGAGGGTGATAAACTAATAATTTTTTTTATTGGGCCTAATCTTCTGCATCTGATCTTGTATGTATATAGTATCAGTACTACTGATACAGTAGACCTTCATATGTCCATATTATCAGAGATTCTATTTATTTGACCAAATGCACAGGTTTTACTGTAGGTCTACCCTACTGTACAATACTAATTAATAAAACCATTAAGCAACTTAAGCAATATTTTACTATATTGTAATGTATAATTAATTTAATAAAGCCATTAATTAAGCAATATTTTACTATATTGTACTGTATAACTAATTTAACGAGACTCAGACAGTAGCTTCCCCTTTAAATGTTTGATTTGCAAATTATTTGTTAGAAGCTTTCTTACAACGTTCTTCGTGTTGACATTGTGTATACATTTTCCCAGAAGGTAATAACAAATTCATGCTGTTTAGAAATTGACTTTCAAATTCCTAACACTAACAGCATGCTGGGTAGGTCAAAGCATCTAAGAACACACCGAATGCGTGTACTCCACGTACATTAAAATTGTACATACAAAAAACCTGCTATGATGAAGGCTACACATGTCAAAAAACATATGGCACATAAGGAAACTGCTAAGGGGGTCATCTATTAGGAACCATTTAGAAATTGATACAAAATACATTACATATTAACCATTAAATAGCCTCAATTATGTTTACATGTTACACTACAGCTTTAGAGTAGTAAAAAACACTGTAATCCAAAGGAGAGTAAAAAGAAATTAACTTATTTGGGCCTGCAGTATATCATTACCTACTGTACCAGGAGGGTACAGTACAGTATAGGTGTTTTTGTGTATACATTGTTTTGCGAATCAGCCGCTCGCCTGATTTCGAATCAATTATTATTCTTTATTAATTATTATTATGTAAAGAAATCATATTTGACTAAAATAAAATATATACAGTGTACATGAAAGCCTATTAAATATCATAACCAAGACTTCTCTTAAGTGCCAAGGTTTACTTACCATGTGTGAAGCTTGGTTGAGCATTTGGGTGTGGAATGGGTGTAACCATTTTTAAAATTTCTTAAACATAAATTGCTTATTGATTGATTCAGTAGATCTATTCATATCTGTTATTTTAAATAAACAGTTAGTGACTACAGTAGTCAGTAAATTATTATTTACATACCTTACCCAGCCCTTATTATTGCTTTTTATATAAATCCATTGAAGTGAAGGCATAATTACAGTATAGCTTAATGGAAATAATTAGAGTTGAAAAGTCAGTTCGGTGATGCGCAAAGCGCACAACTATGACAAACCACACTCCTTTTCTCAGGTAGCGATATCTTCAGTGTCTGATTTTTACATGTTGAATACTATGTGCATGATATATTGCCTGTCATTTTGATTTGGTATGTGCACAAAAGGTGTACTTTCTACAACAAAAATGATTACCTTATTTAATTAATAATAGTATCAAAACTGTTGTTTGCAACAGAAAACCCTTCATATATAAAAATGTAAGTTCAATTATAGTAAAGTTCATTGACTAACAAACATGTAAAGTACTTTTGTCACCAAATTTATTATGCAAATTTACTAACACCTGATAACAGCTTTGTTAAGAGAGGATGTGGTAGATAAGTTAATCAAAGGCATCATGCGCAAAATATTTGTTGAATTTTAACAACCCATGGGTCTTTGTCAAGGATGGCACTTAGCAAACATGGTAGGTATATACAGAGTCTAATGGACATTTACATCTAATTCAACATAAACATGGACGTTGGCAAATCAAATTTATTTTATATACTAATCCATTCAAGGTAGTATTGGGTAAATTTTTGTCAATCATGGTAGATGTATGAAGAGAGCATTACGGGTGAAATTAAACCAAATGAGTAACGAGCGAAAGAAATCTCTTGGTATATAATTGGTTTAATGTCAAGGAATAGAGAGAGATAAATTTGACAAGATTTTAACCAACGACAAATGCATGGACAAAATTACACAAAAATCCCTCCTTTCTATGGCTTGCAGGATTGGGTGTCTAATAATAGTACTATTAATGAGTTATCATTGCATCAGACCATAACAAAGGTTCTGCCTAGACATCTTGGTGGACACCAGGAGAAGCGCTTGTGTGGGGTCAAGGGCTAGACATTCTAGCACGTAAATGGGAAATTTCATTATCATTTTCAACGTAGAAAACAGAGGATTTATCAGAAGGCTTCACTCAAGAAGGAACACTAAAAATCATGGAAAGCCTTGGTTACATTCAAGCCTGTGTACATTAATATTATAAGCAAACTCAAACATGTTATATTTATATATAGCTATTTAGCAACTCCAGAACTAGGAAATGTATTCATGTTATTAATCACTACATGACGAATAAAGTTTATCTGTATAATTCACAGTAAGGAAATAAAAATTGATACTGTATTCCAGAAAGTTTTTTGACAGCTAACCTTCATATTAACAAGAAAAATTACACAAAGACAAATAGTAAGTTACTCATTTCATTTCCTCTAATAATGTAATAAAAAGAATGTGAGATTTAGTCTTACATTTGCGAGTGGCATAGTAAATTTTACATTCGCGAGTGCCATAGTAAATTTTAAACAATTTTAAACAGTGAGTCTATTATGACTTTTTTTTACTACTATACTATTTTAACTTGTATTTCTTGTCATTGCCGAGTTGTTTTGTCTTGTGATTTTTTTTATGTAATTTTTTCTATCCTTTCTAACCATGAATGTTGCAAAGGAAAAACAAATTTCCTATTTTAAAATGGGACACTAAATTGTTCTTGTATCTTGGAATATTATGTTAAATTACGTTGATTTTCAATTTGAAATTAAAAGTATTCAATATTTAATTTTATTAATTTTACTACATATTTTATATTAGTTTTTCTTGTTCCTTTAATGCGATTAAAATTCAATATTAATGTTGCTCCTTTAGACAAATGATGCTTTGATAAAAACACCATTATCATTATTAATACCATAATACCAATTAGGAACAATTTTGACATCATGACAAGGACAACAGAGTAAACTAAAAAATGGCTTTACCTGTATTCTATGTGAAGACGGCTCATCAGCTAATTGCACAGGAGAATTTGGAACACTTTTTCTTCTTGTCCTTGATCTAGGACCTTCCACCTCATGGTAGGCAATTTCTGAAAAATATTAATATAAAAAGAATTTAACAAAAAAAAATCCAAACATTTCATGTAAATATCAGTAAAATATGTCCACAAAACTTAATAATAGACTTCATGGTTCCATTTTGACCTTTTGCAAATCTATTCCAAACCACAGTTGTCTTAGAGAAATGGAATATTAAAATAAAAAAGATATTATTGTTACAAATTGGCAATGATTCAAGAGACATTACCATTGACCGGATGGCAATCAATTAAAAAGAGCTGAGCATGGCATCGATACCTGCAGCTATTCAGGTGTGTCATCTCTACTCTGTGTTAAATAATATGGCCATGCTAAATTTTTATGGCCATGTTAAAAAACATGATAAATTGTTTGACAACCTATTCAATTCAAGGGATGAAAATAATATAAGATTATATCTGTTTAAATATCATTTTTCAAATGAAATCAAACTAAATAGTTCAAAATATTCCATTTTAATTTTTTGACATTATTAGCCAAAAGCATAGACAGTGTACCTCAAAAATAATATATTTATTGAACAAGATGACTGAGTACAGTGTACAGTTCAACTAAGGAAATGGAAACATAACTCCCAACTACTAATAAGCTTGTTCATTAAGGAAGCTAATTACAAACAACTCCCCTGCGGCTCAACGAGTATTGACACGATCAGCATAATACGGATATCAAACGCTTTTTTATTATTACAGCAATTGACAAATCCTATAATAAGAAACCTGACTGCTAGATCAATAAGTCTATATTTACTGGTCCAACTGGATGATCTACTAGCCCAGCAAAACTATTTTCCACAGTACAGTTATTAAGCTTACATTCTACTGATCAATAATTCCACATAGGGAATTGAGCAATATAGAAGCCGACTCGTTTGATCCAACCGCATCAACCGGTTGCCTATGAAATTGAGGATTCCTTGAGTAATAATACTACTGTATTCACTTTTTGTATGTCTTTGCTGACTTTGCAAATTCAAAATGATGCTCCTTCCCACAAGGCCACTTATTGTACAGTACGAATAAAGTAAGCCAAATTAAAATATAATCATGCTCATTGATTTATTTTATTTATTTTATTTATTCACTTATTTTTATCATCACTCAGAAACACACCCTGATAATTCAAAAAAGTGCAATCATCCTTATACTGTAAGCAGTGGGTATCATGGCTTGGAATGATCATCTTCATGTACAGAGAAAAAGAGGAAAAGTATTATTAAAGGGTTCTAATCTAAGCCGGTATTTTATATATTCTCTTGTTCAGTAAACCTAAAAAGGAACTTGGTTTGTAAAAATATTTTTTTAAATTACTGAACAAAAATCTGTCTGTAGTCCCATGATAAACTGACAGCATTTCCCTTTTATGGCAAAAATAATTACTGAAATAATTAAAAATAAATAGAAAACAGACAAAAATGCAATTGGGAAAATATTTTGAGAAATAAAAAAGAATTATAGGACCTGAGAAAAATGGATTACAACCATATTCCTCTTGCCAGTCTGCAGTTTCAAACAATTCATCCGTTCTAACAAAAACTTTCTTTTTCTTACGATGATCAGACAAATTTATGATGAAAACCCATGGATTAAGCAGCGTTCATCTTTTAGGCAGACTACAGTTTAATTACTGAACTCTTTTTATACTGAGAAATCAAACAACAAAAGTTTCTCTTTAACTTTTACTAAATATAATTTTTTTTAATCACTTGTAGGTATCACTATAGCAGCAATTTGAAGGAAATTGCATACTTAACACCATGACATTTCAAATTAATGAAAACAACAACATGAACAGAAACTAGAAAAAAAAACACCTATATATTCTTCATTGAACAATTAAAAATAATTTGATGAAAAACTATGAAATATGTATACACAGATTCAACATTAACATAATACCACATAGTAATAATTAAAAATGATCAAAAAATAACTAAAAAATGAGTTACCTCCATTGTAAGTTTGCATTTGTTCTAAAATAGCTTGCACCATTTTGAACCTAATCCACAGTGAAACAACTTATATTTTATATTATCAGTAATATTTCCAATCCTTAAGCGTGGTTATTGTATACACATATTATATGCAATTACAGTACACAGAATTGTATGTGGGTTGCTCTTATGTTAGTCAGTCTATATAGGCTTCCTGTTCACTCCAATAGCTGAACCTTAATGCATCAATTGAACCTAGCTATTGGAATAATGCTTCAAGCTATTACTCATCAAATAACATGCTCTGATTGGTTCATTTTAGCATAGCCTCCTATTGGGTACTTAATTGAGCGGTTAAGATTGCCAGTTCCAATCACAACCATATCCAAGTAAAGTGTAATGGCGTAACAACACGGAGATACCTTTATGGTAATACTAACCTTAAGACCTACACAAGTCAAGTTTCGCACAGGTCACATTTTATTAACTTTTTATGTTCAATTTTCCTCTCAAAATTAAGCTTATACATTTTAGATTCCTACAAATTTATGATTGATGCCTGGAAATTCCTTTAGCTAATATTACACTATTAGGCTTTAATATCAAAGTGCTAAAAATTTGATGAGAATAATAAAATGGGATAATTAGAAACAAGTGAGTAAATTTCATGCTCTAAAATGAATTGAAGAGCTTACAAAAAAAAAAAAAAAAAAAAACACCACTAAAATTATAGTACTACAAAAAAAACCAACCACTAAAATTTTAGTACACATAGATTCATGATTTAAAAACCATAGTATCTTCCATTCCACTGGCCAATTTGATTTATATTAGTTTTACTCTTTCTAAGAATTGCATTAAACAGTGTTTAATAAAAAAAAAAAACCCCAATCATTAAACCTTCAAATTTGTATCTTTAACGTAGTGTTCTTTTTTTTCTTAATAATAGAACACAGAATGAATTGGTACGTACGAGTAACACTGAATATAACAAATCTATATATATATAATCTTTAGGAAAATTCTTTACTAAAATAAACAAATACCAGAAACACAAAATCAACAGAGGTATTTCCAATGTAATTCAAAGAATTTTTTTCTTTGTCCTCTTAGTCAGTGTGCTACTAAACTTCTTAAACTACAGTATGATAATTAAGTATCATAAAAAGACAAAATGTTTATTACCAAGTATGTTTCTATATAAGCAATTTTATAAATTCATGAATAATTATTGATGATAAATAATATCAAATGAATAATTAATATTTCAGATCCTGCAATGTACATAATCACAGCATTCTTATGTCATTACAAATGAACTTTGTTTACTATTCATGTTTTAAGATGAAATGAGTCACTTGAGCAATAAAATACAGTATACAGAACGCCCACTCAAGCATAACACTGCCCACTCAAGCATAACACTGCCCACTAAGCAATGACACAGGAAATCTTCCCTATCGGTTATGGTATAATATTTAAGCTTGCAATTAAATGACGATGACAACAATTGATGATGATTACAGTAGGATGATAATGATGTTCATGGAAAGTGACGATGATGACAATAAAGATGATGACAACAATGAGGATATAAAAGTTAATAATGCTGATGATAGTGATAGTAATGATGAAGATGATTATTATTATGATGATGATGATGATGATGATTAAGTGATGATGATGAAGATGATGATGATAGTGATAGTGGCTTCGGAGATAGTGGAAACAACAATGAGGACAATGAGAACAAAAACACTGATGACGATAACGATGTTCGATCTCATAACTTGTAACTTTCTTAAATCAGAGCTTTCTAAAGTTCCATGCTTCAATAAAATATTCCAGAATTTTTTTTAAAAATTAGATAAGCAAGTAATTGGAAGTGCAAATTATTGGATTGTTTTTTTTTTTACAATCAAGGTTATGAAAATTAAAATCACAAATTGGTATGTAATCAATAATAAGTCTCAAATTAGTTGAATTTTCAATATAATCTGTAAAAATTGAATATAATTTTATAGCACAATTCCTAATATGGTTTATCAAAGAATAATCATGTTTTTAAATTCACTAAAATTATTAATAAATGTTATGTGACTCATATTTTTAGTTATCTGAATCTAATGAATATGATGGAAAAGACAGTAATGAATTGATTACATTTTAGATTTAGAGGGTTACCTGTAATTCAAGTATAAGATAATTATCCGTGATTTGCATTTAAGTACAGTGAATACTACTAGCTTTCAAAATAAATATTCAAATTAAAATTTTTCAGCTTACTCAAATCTTATAACAGTACATTATTAATATCAAGTATACCAGCTTCAAGAAATCCAATAAAACTAAATTTATAAACCTATTAAAATGACATATTTAGTGTGATATTGATAAAAAAAAAAGTGTAGTGCTTCGCAGTTACTCTTTTTTTTCCCTTTATTCTGATTAAATATATTCTCCATAGTCTTGTTTGAGTTTTTCCTTTTTTCTGTGAATTAACTTCATTTGGAGATATTTTTATAAAAAAAAAAATATTCTGAATATGTCAAGTTGTCAATTAAATAAGCCAACAACGTTTATCCTCAAGAGATTATTGTGCAATCCTTCACAGGATGAATGTTCCGGGAACTGGCTACAAGCCTCCATAAGAACAGTCAGAATATATCCATATTGTGTAAGTAATAACTTCTTACTTGCATTCAATCCAATTACTGTTAATTTCTATGGGACCTTCACAAATGTCATGGGGTCCACCAATAAGATTTAAATTAGAGAATAATGAAAAAACATGATGTAGGCCAATATTTATTTTTTAACAATCTTTTTTTCTACCATATGTTGGGCTGTTTTATTTTCATTGGTCGATTTCATTTGATCAAGAACTCTGCCAGAATGTAATAACAACATATTAAAATTTGTATTATGAATTAGATAGTTTTATTATTGCTTTCAAGATTATTCTCACTTAATGTTCAATAACAAGCATGAATACCATAAAAAATAATCAGCATTTGTAAAACAAGTGAAATATAAAAATATTAAGATGCAATTGTA